ACGTGTTATCTTTGACGTAAACTATACAAAGTAAAAAGGTCGTGGTGGCCAGGAGGTTTTCCGGGGTTTGAAACCTGGCAAGTACGAGTACCAATGTGACTTTTTCCGAGTTATATGTACTTCTATGATTATTTAGACACCACTGACATACGGTGAAGGTAAACATCGTGAGGAAACCTGGACTTGTAATTTCTAATTATAAATTTGAAATCGCCAACCCGCATTGAGTAAACGTGGTGATTCACGCTCAAATCTTCTCCTTGTGACTAGACGCCTTTGCTTAGCAGTGGCCACTTATGGGCTCGATGATGATGACTTTTGGTATTTAAAAACTAATACAAGATAGATAATTTGAGTACCAATATGAAAAACAGACAACGACATTTTGCTTGTAATCTAAAGCTTATAAAAGTTACAAAACCTAGACAGCCTGAAACCTTTGTTATATTACATACATCTTAAACGAAGCTGCGAGAGTATTATCATTGTGAAAGTAGGTAATATTTCCATTATGAAAATCCCTCTTGATGAGCAAAAACATGATAAATTGCGCACATAAGGTTTTGCATACATTACCGGTTTTATTCGCATGGCAGAAGTTGATATAAAAGCTTTGGAAGCCATGTACGAGTAATAAGTCGTTTTATGTTCAAAATTCTCGATTAAAATAATAATTTTGCGGCATTGACGAGGGGTGGATTTATAATTGCGGGTTCACAAAATTTTAGATCCGAGGCTACACGACAAAAAGCAATATGAGCTTAAATCGCACTGCCGTTAGACTGAATTTTATACATCACACAAATACTTCAGAGATTCTTGTGAAGTAGGCTTTATATAGAACTCTTTATTACTGTGTAACTGACGACGTACAGTCATATACATGTCGTAGATAGCTAAAGTTTGGCAAACTGGCAAGTCCCTTGGGGAGCGCAGAGTACAAAAAGATTTCTCATCATTCTTTAGGGAATAGGAAAATACGGAATTTTCGTTACAAAACCTAGCAGAAAAAACTAGTTCTTATTTCTTACTTTATTCTTAACTGCTTACAAAATATCCTACTTAACATTATAAATGCGAAAGTTTCTAAGTATGGATGGGTAGGTGTATAGATTTGTTACTCTCTCACTCACAAACTACTGAACGGATCTGAATGAAATTTAGCATAGAGATAGATGATTGTGTCATCAAATGACTTCGACTGGCAAGTACCAATGTGACTTTTTCCGAGTTACATTTGCTTTCTATGATTATTTAGACACCACTGACATACGCTGAAGGAAAACATCGTGAGGAAACCTGGACTTATAATTTCTAATTATAAGTTTGAAATCGCCAACCCGCATTTAGCAAGCGTGGTGATTAATGCTCTAACCTTCTCCTTGTGAGCAGAGGCCTTTGCTCAGCAGTGGGCACTTATAGTCTGATGATGAAATGACTTCTCTTACCCAGGGAGGAAGAGTCAGACTCTTACCGTCTAAAAACTCCCCGTTCCTTCTCCTGCTCTAGGCCGCGGTGCCTTGTTGCGCTTACCCTGGCACCTCGGCTGAGCTAGATTATATGTATAGTCGTGAATAACATACATATAGGTATGCGTATGTAACTTTTTAACCTGTATTGTGGATAAAGTCAGATGTATCTTATACATATGTATTTTCTAAAGTTAAACTTTGGTTACGGTACATGTGTTATGTGATCCGTGAAGTGAACCGTTAAGAAGGTGATTCAATAACTTTAAGGGCTACTTAAGGCTTTTCTCTGATAAGAGCCATTTAAGTAATATCGTGAACGATTATCGACGGCTATCGTCAGCGAATTCATACAGTCACCGATTTTCTTGTCACTTAGGGTTTATCTTAAATTGTTATCGTCGAGTTAAAAGGTGTACAAAGTTTTAGAATACACCTGGACAAAGAAAATAATCTTACTAGGTAAGATTTTAAAAGCGAATGTTTGTGAATAAATAAGTGTGGGAGAGCCATGCTTCGGCACGAATGGGTCGGCTCGACCGGAGTGATACCACGGCCTTACAGAAAACCTGAAATAACCACAGCGTTGTGTTTCGCCGTGTGAGTGAGGTTACCGGAGGCCCAATCCTTCCCCTCCTCCAATCCCTCCTAAATCCCTAAATCTCCAAATCCCTAATCCCTAATCCCTAAAAGGTCGGCAACGCACTCGTAACTCCTCCGTTGCGAGTGTCCATGGGCGGCGCTGATTGCTTACCATCAGGTAATCCGCTTGCTCGTTTGCCGACCTTTTAATTAAATAAAAAAAAAAAATATGTGTGTGTGGATTTTTGTTACTCTTTCACGTAAACTGCTAAATGGATTTTGATAAAAATTATAACAGTTTTATAGTCTAGAATAACACATAGGGCACATGATAGTATAAAAGGTAATTTTTATTTCCAAATACTAAGCTCCGGGCCGCCACGACTTTAGGCATCTCCGATTGCAAGCCACTAAGCTCGAAGTTCATAAAAATGTAATTAATCGAATTCTCAGTAGACTTAGCTATAAAAATAAGCACAAATTAGTTTTAGTCAATATTAATATTTGCTTTTAAAATTATGACGTAATAGACGCGCTTTTATTTATAAAGTAAATTATCGATAATGGCACTAATTACTTATAGTATCAAAAATTTTTATTATAATGTTTTATTTTGTCTAATTGAAATTTGATCTAAGTCTTATTTAATAAAGTAATCAGCTTTTGATGTTAATGAAACGGCTGAAAGATAAATTTGATGTTTTTTTTTAATGAAATATTTACTAAGTATAATATAAAAGAGTTATTGTTAAACAATGTTCATATTAGAAGGGGTATTGAGTTCCATTCCGAAGTAATTTATCTGCCACATAGTTCTTTTTTGTTGACAAATGGTAAAGGGAAACATCTTGAGGAAACCTGGAAGTTTTTTCTAATTATAAGTTTGAATTCTTCTATTCGTCTTGAGCAAGCTTGGTGATTAATGCTCAAATTATCAGTGTAAAGAGGCCTTTGCTCAGTAGTGAGCAAGCAAAGGCTGAAGATGTTGATGTTCATGATATGTTTTTTTTGCCTTTTTTATGGTACATAAGTCTGCGAGCACACGGCACACTCAAACTTCGAAATACAATGCTGTGATTGTTTTACGCCAATTTTCTGTGAAGTCGAAGCTAAATTATTTATTCCAACTAAACCATAAATAGGTACTTTTGAAACGTCAAATAGAATAGTAGTCTGTCAGTCTGTTCGTCAGTGAAACTAGGTGCTCGTTCCAAAATGGTAGATTCGAATGGAGAAGAACGGCAAAGAAACTACATCGTTTCTCTTTAAAAAAATATATATTATTCGTTTTACAATTTATTTCACTCATTAAATACATCATTGAGCATACATTATTGTACCCTAATGTGAGAGTAATGCAAAGACAAGTTGTTAAAAAAAAGACCAAATGATGGGATCTATTATTAAAACCGAGGTGATTGAGGCTGTGGTATCACTCCGGTCAAGCCGACCCATTCGTTCCGAACACTCCATCACCACGGAATTAAATGTGGGAGAGACGCTCGAGTGTCATTTCGATTTCGAAAATATAAGCTCAATAACATTTTTGCTCGTAAAATTCCGTATTTGTTATGATACAAGGATCAACTTCAAGGAAATTTGAGATCGACAGTGCAGCTGCTAAATCGAATGTTATTGCTGTTTTATATTTAGCGACTAGCTACTTTTGCGCGTTTTCACCCGCTCCTCGGCTCCATTTCAATCGTAGCTTGATGATTTATAGCCTATAGCACTCAAGAACATTGTTAGCTATCTATAAGTGAAAGAATTTTGGAAATCTGACCAGCGGTTCCAAAGATTACTCCTTCCATACAAACTTAAAAATTGTACCTCTTTATAATATTATTATCGATTATTATGGACAAGCTAATCTCGCACGGTTTCACTCACTGTTCAGCTCCTTTTTGTCGTAGCGTGAATGCGTGAACATTGTTAGCTATCTATCAGTGAAAGAATTTTGAAAATCCGACCAACGGTTCCCAAGATTACACCCTCTAAATACAAACTTTCAAACATACAAACTTAAAAATTTTACCTATTTATAATATAAATATAGACAAACGTGGAAAATAGTTAACTAAAAATCGCGGGTTACTCACGTGTGTATATTGAGAAAAGCTCTACTATAATAGTTGGAAAGTTAGTGTGGAAAATAGTGTTTTATAAATAATTTTTTTTCTGTATTCTTTTTTTATCTTTTGGAAGCGTGCAAAACGCTTAAACGGGTACAAATCAATAACAAAACTGATAACAAAATTGCTGAATTTAGTAATACAAGGCCGATTAAAACTTATAATGTAAATCATTCGCGTGGTTTAATGGAAACAACTTTACTAATAAAAATTAGAATTGATAATCCTTCCTCGTATTTGTTAGTATTTTACTTTTAAGTTATGTTTTCATATAGACTCCATTTTGTATCGAATATATTTAATTTGAATTGAAAATTTTGGAATAATGAATGATTTTTATTGCAAACTAGCTGCCCGCCCCCGCTTCGCACGGATCCAACTACCTCGCTCACAACGAAAGGGTCACTTTTTACCAATTTCCCCATCGTTTCCACTTTTCTATTGTTATATTTTCTTTGATAAAAACCTTCTCCTGACGATGAGAAACCTCACAAAAAAAAACACGGCAATTTTTTTTAAAGAAATATTGCCCCACTGTGTTTTCTCCTGTGTTGTGGGTGCGGTCAAACATACAATTTCACACACACATGACACCCAGATCCGAAACAACAATTCGTGGATTACACAACAACAATTTTAAGTCGGTTAGAGTCTGACACTCCCTCCCGCCCGACACTAGGCGGGAGAATGAACATGAAAATTGAAAAAAATACATTACTGCATTAATGTAATGTAAAGACGAATAAAATAAAATAAAACTTACAGCTCTTTATTGTCGTTTGACATCATCGTCTTAATACATGTTTCATTGTTACAGGAGATATTCTAGTAAAGAAGGGTACGGAAGTATCAATCCACATATACGACCTCCATCGTCTGCCGGAGCTGTACCCAGACCCGGAAGCTTTTAAGCCAGAACGGTTCTTAAGTCAGCAGCCAACGCATCCTTACGCTTTTGTGCCTTTTAGCGCTGGACCTAGAAACTGTATTGGTAAGTTACTAGTATTATTAAGATATTCAGTGCCGGATAAATAGCAAGTATGGGAGAGCCATGGTTCTACGAATGGGTCGGCTCGACCAGAGTGATACCACGGGCTCACAGAAAGCGGGCATGAAACTTCCACAGCGTTGTGTAACACCGTATGAGTGACGTATCAGGAGGCCCAATCTCTAAATCCCTTATCTCAACATCTAAAGTATCCCAACATTAGGTAATCTGTCGGCTCGTATTCCTATCTATTTATAAAAAAACACAAAAAAGTTGTTCCGTTCGGATATCGGACCCGCGACAGGTTGCAAAACAGCTAAGTTAGCACCGCGTTAAGTGTGTAGTCGAAAAGCTACTATGATACTAAATGCCATATTTCGCACAAATGCAGTGGTAAACTTGAACCATTTAAACTGCAATCTTCAACTTGAAATCAATCTTCTTAAGTAGAGAACCGGCTTAAAATACGGTAGCTATAACTGACCAACAGACTGACAATTTTTATCTTTAGGCTAGGTAAGAGTCTAACTGAAAAATAATAATTATCAATTATGTATATGTGTACATGAACATAGTGTGCCAAAATCCAGGTGAATTTTCTGCCCACTTACTCAAATCCTATGAGAAAGGTCAAGCGGTCACAAGGTATGAGATCAACGGCTTTAAGCTAAGGAGACTGGACATTGATATACCAGACTCTGCCGTACGCAAAGGTATTAATAGTGCTTACTTAAACGGTTCCTTAGTAACGATTTTTTTCTAAATATTTTTTTTTATTTAAAAAACCTTGCCCCACACTAGGATTTTTGCTTGAGTCGTGGGTGCGTTTACAAACATACAATTCCACATGCACATCACACCCAGACCCGGAATAACAATTTGTGGATCACACATAGAGTTGTTCCGTGCGGGAATTGAACCCGCGACACGTTTCAAAGCAGCCAGTTGCCCAGCCACCGCACCAACCGTGCAGTAAGTCCTTAGCCATATAATTGCTAAATTGCTGCTAGAACTGGGTACTGATAACAATTAAATTATCATAAAATGAGAAGTCGGTTGATACTCTTTTGCCAATGTAAAAAGTTAATTTTTGTAAAATGCTAGAGCTTAGGTCATTATTGAAACGGACGGGAGTGTCGTCTGGGGAACTCTAAAAAAATTTTCCACTTATAATGCACTTAAACTTTTCTTTTAATTGTTGTAGCATAGTTACCACTTTTTTATTTGATATCATCAGTTTAATAGTGTTTAGGTTTTTTTTATGTCGGCAAACGAGCATTCGGATTACTTGATGGTAAGCAATCAGCGCCGCCCATGGACACCCGCAATGGAGGAGTTACGAGTGCGTTGCCGACCTTTTAGGGATTAGGGATTTGGAGATTTAGGGATTGAGTAGGGATTGGGGGACGGGAAGGATTGGGCCTCCGGTAACCTCACTCACACGGCGAAACACAACGCTGTAGTTGTTTCACGCCGCTTTTCTGTGAGGCGGTGGTATCACTCCGGTCGAGCCGATCCATTCGTGCCGAAGCATGGCTCTCCCACACTTAAATATGGTGTTATTAAACTCTCATGTTAACTGAGAAAAGCTCAAGTATTTTCAAGTCAGAAAAGGGACTCTTATTTAAGAGTGCGCATCGACTACAACTGATTTATTAGTAAATTCAAGTAAGTACTACATAGTATAAAACAAAGTAACTTTCTCTGTCCCTTAATTCTCATAATATGTATGCTTAAATCTTTATAGCTTCGCAACGGATTTTAGTGCAGTTTTTTTTTTAATATACAGACTGATTGAACAGAAATGTTTATACGTATATTATTTATTATTTTAATTCATGAAACCCCAAGCGAACTCCGGACATACCATGGTTATAAGGTTAATAGTGGAGAAATTTATTTATAGCATTTTTATTTGTTTTCATATAATTTTATATATCTCACGATAGTAACAATCTAAAAATACACAGCCGTGATTTAGAAAATAAATTACCACAAAGTTTACCTCAATTACTTCTTAAATATAAAGTATTGTGTTTCCCAGACTCCAGACAGAATCCAAACAGTTTTTCTTTTGAGTCAGATTAGATAACTTTTTGGTACAAACAATAGACAACATTATTTACAGATTTCTCTATAATTCGGGTCTGTTTTCTTCAGATTATAAAGTGTCTGTTAATTCTACCACAATACGAATTATCTTTGTCGTCCTGGGATTACCTGGAAACAAACTACAAAGCCCGGCTAATATTTTCTAGATTAACGTTAGGTACCCTAGATTTAAGTGTTTATCTTTTTCAATTTTGACTTTTTGAGAGCAGATTTTTTAATAAGTATATAAGTTTACGTGTTTCTTTATTTAAATAGGAGTTCTATTTAAAAAACGTTATGAGTCTGATAAGTCCTCGGACCAGATATAGGGAATATTAGTGATATACTGTTCTTACATAATGGTACTAATTATTATGTAAGAACAGTGTATCACTTGACAATTGAAAAATAGTAACTAAGAAGGACTAGGTGTCACAACCTGGAGAATGGAGGGGGAGGGGGGCGATTTGGCCTCTGGTAACCGTAGTCATACTACGAAACACAACGTGACTGTTGTTTTACGCCGGTATTCTGTGAGGCCGTGGTATCACTACTGTCGAGCCGACCCATTCGCGCCGAAGTATGGGTCTTCCACACAAGAAAACACCTTATGCATGAGAAGCGGGCGCCTTAACCAACAATATAAAAATAATCATTCCAATTCATTGCATCATTATATTACTTAAAACTCAATCAGGACATAGCAACATAATAATAATCAAAGAAACGTGATATCAAAGCTGTAGTGTTTACATAAAAAAAAAAACAAAATGTATTGTTATATTTTTTTATTGTTAAAACGTGAATGTTTGTTCGAGTCTTGGCCTTTAGACAAAATGTTACAAAGCAGCACGTGTTCAAACATTAGTTCCGAAAGTTGTCGTTATGCACGAAGAAAATATAAAACAGATATTTTCCTTTCTATAATAAAAATGCCAATTACGTAATCAAATATTCTTATTCCGTATAATAATTGGCTACACAAGATCAGCAGCCGTGCAACGTGTCACGGGGTCCATTCCCGCGCAGAACAACTCTTTGTGTGATCCACAAATAGTTATTTCGAATTTGAGTGTGATGTGTATGTGAAATCGTTTGTGAAGGTAAATACTACATAGGGGAAAGCCCCTGTTTTTTGTGAGGGGAAATTATCAAATGACTTCTCCCGCCCAAGGTGGGGAGTGTCAGATTCTTACTGACTAAAAACCCCCCCTGTTCCTTCTCCTGCTCTTGGCCGAGGCCGCGGTGCCTCATTGCGCTTACCCCTCCACCCCGGCTGAACATCAGCCCTATAGGGCCCCGTCTGTGGTGGTCTATTGGCTGTTTGAGGCGCGCGCGAAACGCTACGCGCGGTACGCTCGGGTCTGGTACTGGTCGTGCGGCGATCTACTCTTACTCGCTGTCCGTAAACCCGCGCTTACCGGCCGGCTACCAGCTTGGCCGGAGATCGTCTCTTAAAGAGAAAACCTCTAGTGAACTATTCGAGAAAATTTCTACTAGATACAAGATGCTGGGCGATTTTTTTCATTATTTCGATTTCAGAAAAGTTATTGTTATAGGAACAAAAATAGTAGGGTCAGTTTATTAATATTAATGTTTCTCTTAGGACTACACATCTAAATACACCTTTAATTTAGAACCAACCTCTAGGTATACCAATAAATTGCCAATGTCAAGTTGGCGTGGGCGCAGTTAATTGCTTGCGTTTTATCTTGAAATGCGTCTTAGAACCGAATAGCATATAGTCTAGGTCGTAAGTTTGAGTAACTCTGGTCGTAATTTAGGGTTCCGGAGCTAGACGAAATTAGGAATTTCAATTGACTTCTAGATAGACTTAAAGCTTTAGTGTTAGTCTGTGTAATGTGTTTGTAATAGTAAACAATCTAAGGGCTCTGATTGAAATAGGTAAAGTCGTAATAATATTCAGACTTCAAGGCCAAATGGCAGCTTCATGTATTCTTGTATTATAACCTCATTTGTCGTAATTAATTACTTAATGGTTTATTTACCTAACTGTTTATCGACACACGACGAACTTGAGTGACGTTCGCCGCTCATGAATATGAGCCCCTAGCGAGGCATGAAACGAGTCGATTTGTCCCGTCAAAATTATTTATGCTTTTACAGTTTAGAGGTACCTATGAAGGAACAAGGTATGTTTCGTCATCCTCCATTGAAAAGGGAGCGTCCTCGCACCGGGCGGGTGTAGAGTCTGGTGGGCTACTGCCCGACGACGTTTATTGTCGAGATCTTGTATTAATTATATTTGCGTCATGAACTTTTATACCGTGATGTAGAATCTTGATCGTGATTGGTGCTATTGCTGCATGTTGTGCGGATCTTTTGCATTACATGCAGCAACGCTACGCCACTCCTATCCTAGACCGGAGGTCGTCATTAGGTTAAGTCTTCAACAGCACGTCAATTCTATAAAATTTGTTTGATTTTGAATCTTGTTCGAGTCCGAAGTGAGCGTCGAAGTGACGGGGAAATTAAATTTTAGAATGCTACCTTTAACGTCATCTCATACTTTATCTATCAAAATGTTGCGGTCAATTTAGTTCAACTCGCAAGTGTAGCGCTAGTGTACTACTACTCACAGCGAATTCAGATTCGAAGTTTAGAATGAAGTCTTACATAATCACACTGCAGTACAACATGATATAGATAGTAGTCAGTGAAATAAAGCACAATAATATATTCCTCTCGTATTCTAAGAATAATTTTTAAGATGGAAAGTGGGTGAAACAATTTTTAGTATTTTTCTTCTAATATAAATGTACCTTCTAGATCTTTCATGCTGCTGAAATAAGAATTCTCAGAAAGAGTGCTGTTACAAGAAATAGCAAGTTAACATCGCCTCTTTGTTATTGAAATAGAGAATCAAAAACAAAAAATATTCTATCAAACCC